AATTAGAGAAGAAGATGAGCGGGTAGATAGATAGATAGATAAATGGAGAAGACGATTGGCGGCTAGCTAGCTAGATAGATAGATAAATAGAGAAGAAGATGGGCGGGTAGAGAGAGATGAATTAGGTGTATACTGGAATGCCTGTATTAAATGTAAGACTGGGCACCGTCCAACTTTTCTGGTCGTTTCGTAAACGGTTAGTTCCAGCAGTGAACATTTTGTCCCCAATAGCCGTTAGTTTTCAAGGTAAAACGAAACGTTCGTTTAGTTAACGGTATTCTCCGTTTTATTTAAAAGTTACCATTAGTGAACGAACTCAATTCTATTAACGAGCGTTAACGGAAGATATTTTTCAATTAACGGGGGAAAAAATCACGAACGGTCGTTTGTAGTATTAACAGCATCAACTGTTTTCCAAAACTCTAAAACTCGTTTAAAGTTCCATCAACCCCCCCGGACAAATACCTTCACCTAAAACAGACGATTTATGTAATAGTTCTGAACTATCCCATTGATTAAGTTGGCTATCCTGTATGTCTTTATACTGAGGCTATAACATGCACTAAGCTATTATATGTTTGTACTGCTCAGGAGCGGATAATTTTCATTTTTACCTTTAAAAACTTAACATTTACCTTGTTCCACTGAACCCCTCATTCCTTTCATATAGTCATTAAGTATTAAAACTAATATAATTTTCACCCGTTATTTAGAAAGAGAACTTGATTTGCTCAACATAGGAATATTTCGACCCGACAAAAACATTTTTCTTGTTTCATGAACTTACAATCATCGATTTTGTCATATATGAGATTGTTTGACATGTTCATAAACATTTTCGTCGGGTGGAAAATTTTCATAATTCAAAACTTAATATTTTTCCTACTTACTTCTAGTGTGCTACGCGTTTAGAAAATGATAGCAAATTATATTGGTGTAATCTGTCATGAGAGAACAATTTTAACGAATAAAAAATATGATCAAAATGAATTAAGCAGGACAACTTTTTTGTCATTACATCGACATTAGACTTCACATAATTGGTTATTTTATAGTGGCATGTCCATTGTCCAATTTAAAGCTTGTTATGATCAAGAATAAAATAAGATTTCTTTCTGATCACTCTCAATTTTGGTTTATCGATAAAAGTGACTTGCTCATTTCTGAAGTTCTAATACAGGGTGTCCCATTAAGCATGGGAATTAAATGACGACTTCTATATAGTCTTTGTTCCATGTGCGGAATTATTTCGTAAATATAATTGTGTAGTATCACAATTTAAACATTTATCACCGAAAACTACTATTCTCTGGATTTCCAAAATGTGGTCTACTATCTTTAAGATACAAAGAAGGTAGACCACATTTTGAAAAGCTTATAAGACTTTCAGACCTTTTTTTGATGCACTTTATGTAACTTATCAAAGACGATATTTATTTCGTCTCTCAATTCCAATGTTGATTAGGACACCCTGTAGGTCAGAAACCATAGATAAAGATAGATTGCGCATAAGACGACAGTTTTCATCTTGAAAGATATCAATGTACAGAGATGTTTTAAAGATATTCCTATTATATAGATTAACTAGGTCGGTTGTGAACATTGGCTGTTCTTATGTCATTGTGGTGTACATGAGTTCTGTAGAGAGAAATTTAAGTTAGTTTAGTCCTTCTCATGTCCTTCTTCAGTTCTCGTCAATATGATATATTGCTCAGTGAAATATTGTTGTTCAAATAGTTCCATTCCCGGAGTTATTTTACACTCTATTATGAAATCCATTAAAACACCAAACCACCCCGCTTATCATTGAAGTACACTTTGACCCCTAGAAGTATGAGTTCGCAGACTGTACAATTCTTGGTGATTTTGCGTACATAAGCTATCTATGTTTATTTATTTATCTATGTCAGAAACAATGCAGTAAAGAATCAGAATTGAACAGTTCTAGATAGAAAAACGATGGGTTTTACAAAGGGCACCGTTATTTAGTAGAGCCTCACATGGAAATATGAACAGTCCTTTGAAGATGTAGATTTCATATCAGAAATGAAATTGCTAGCCGTAAAATTATTAGTTTGTAGAAGTTTGATTTAGTTCAAAATAAGGAATATTTTCTGGAAAATTATTAACAGTTAAAGTTCTGATTTTGTAAAAATAAAGAAAAAATGAAATCATCCTCCATAAACGTTAAATCATCATTAAATTATTTTGAAAATTATAAACTACTGCGTTCTGTTCATTTTGTCTTAATATGGAAATGCTAGGTGCTTCAGTCAACTTAATTTTCAGGAATTTAAAGGGGGTTGTTCACTTACGTTTCTACAGTAGTTTTCTGTCAGAATTTTAAAGATGAATTTTTATTTCAGGGATTTTTTTCCCATTGTGTGATAAACTATTTTTTGTGAACATTTTATGCAAAGATAAAACCTTAAAAAGATTAATCCGATGTGGTTTTAGTTAGAAACAATATTCACATCTTCACATCTTTACATTTCTTTTAGAAAAAGTAATAATGCAGAAAAAAATCAGCTTTTCTTCATTTTGCACTCCTTAATTCAATCAAAGCTTTTTTCAGGCTTAAATCTTATTTGATAACTGTTTTTTTTCTGTCTCAATTTACTTTTTTACTTATTTTCTTGAACTTATTTTTGTGTTACAGACCCTTATGATTCCTATTGATTAACTTCGATATCCACGGTGGACACTTTTGATTTACTGCCTATTTGTCTCTTTTAGATATCCTACTGGGTTCCAATCAATTAGAGATCTCTCATATTCTCTTAGTTTCGATTTTTGTAAAAGCCAATCTGATTGGTTGAATTATACACTTTCCTGGATTAAACTAATCTGAAGATTAACAAAAAGATTAGATTAAAGACTGATATCGATTTCACAAAGAAGAGTTTTCAGCTCCTTTGGTCAAGGTAAAGGAAGGCTGGGCTTGTTAAACATTATTTATTTAGAATTAAACCAGCTTCTCCAGAGCAGTCCTAAAACTTTTTATATAAAAAAACCTTCTTCAACCTTAATTCTACTTGCATTGGTTTAATCCAATGTGTAATCAATCTCTATTGTTGAGCTGATGGTATGTTTCTAGGATAGTGTGACAACGCCTTTAATTCTTCATTAAACCAACCAGCATTCACCCAGTCACACAACTAAGTGACTGTTAACGTAATTTCAAGTGAACCCTTTCTACAGGGTAGCATGTCCGATTCACAATGGTACCATGTAAACCTATACATGAGTAGAAACGAGATAGTTTTAGTCATTTCTTGATTTATCTTAAAAATTGTTCAATTATCGCAAATTTCTCCACTGCCTTTGCAATATAAATCCACCAGTTCTTAATTATAGAGGAACCACAATTAAAAATAATTAATTTTTTAGAGAAAAATAAGATCCATCGATTGGAAAAAAATTTGGAACAGACACAGTTGCCAGACATGTCATCTTCATAAATGGAGGGTTTCTTGAAATCACAACACATTACACACTCACAGGCCCTTTACACTGCTTTAGAAATAGTAATTTTAGTTAACACTCGACATTTATTAATAAGTCAAATGTAAAGACATACTCCTAGTCGACCATTGTTGTGTTTATAAGAAACCTACTCTTCCCTGTTTGTAGATAAAAGATGTTAAAAAAGCTAGAACTAAGTGTGATACATTTCTAATTGAGCAGATTTATTCTAGAACTAGTATGATACTATTCCTAACAGGAGTGAATATCATTTAACTAATCAATCATTTCCCAGTTTCCGCCCTGTGATTATTCGCTCTTCTATCTATTTATCAAAGCACGCTATACGCGTATTCTGAAGATGCAACAAGAACACGAATTGGCGCATACACCCCCCCCCCCACCCCGGGGTTTTTCTTATCCGTCTATTTAAGGTTAGACTGATGTAAGAAAACCCCGTTTACTCCTTTCCTAAGAGTATTAAATTAGAATTACTGTCAAGAGATACTTTCAAAACTTCATAGAAATTATAAAATTTCGAAAAAACCTTAAAACAAGAAAGAATTAATATTTTAACCTACTCCAATAACACCATACTGTCGTTGTGATTTTGAGTGACCTTCCATTTTAAGATGACATGCCCGATTTACAACCATATTATTTTTATAATTATTGTTAATAATATATCTACAGAAAAAGTACCAAGACAATGATGCCTGATTTACAACGATATTATTTTTATAATTATTATTGTTAATAATTAATCTATAGAAAAAGTACCAAGACATGAAGGTTATAAAATCCTTAAAATTTTAAACTTTATTTGATCAATGTGGAAGACATCTTAGTTTTTCTAGCATTTGTTAAAGGGAGTGTTCGCGAAAAATGAAAGGGGGTATGGGCTTAATGCGATAAAAAAGCGCGTTTGATCGCTACTAATCTTACTTCTATCTGTTGCGTCTATAAGGAGAAAATTGTTAAAGGCGTCTCATACCGAATAACTTAGCGTCCATGTAAATTGAGAAAATTGCAACATACGACTTAAACCGTAAAAAAATCAATTATCTTTCGCCACATTTGTAGATAGTTTATATTTTATAATATTTTTTAATTAATTTGTTTTGAATTTGATTATTTCTCTTGTCGCTTGCGCAACTATCTAAGAAGGCCGCGCAACACTCATACTTTTCGAAATCCGTTAAAAACATTTTCTTAAAAAAAATGAAATATAAAAAACTATTATAAAATATTGGGGCTGGTAAAGACGACATTACGTGAGGGTGGGGTTTAGGAGATTTATGGTCAACAAATATGAATAACTAGTATATGTAAATGGATTAAAAATTTATTAATATTTTAAAAATTCAACAAGAATATTATCTAAATTATTTGTAACATTTTTAATAAAATATTTAATAATCAAATGCATTTAAAAGTAAGATCACAATAAATTTAATCAGCTAGAAAAAAATGTTAAGTTAACATAAAATAATCCTTAAAATCATCCTAAAAAAATCTTCACGTTTGAAGAGAAGTACAGAAGTAAAATTTATTGCTTTATACTTTATACTAATTCTTGATTAATGGGAATCAAAAATAACTCTATAAACAAAAAGCTTAAAATATTTTAAGGATCCACTGATTGATTATTAACTGAGGAACTACATCCCTTGAGAAAAAGACATCAAACAACCAGATCCTGACATAACCTCCATGAAAAAAAGGATTCTCCCATAAAACCACCTTGAAAAACCAGATTCTCCCATAAAACCACCTTGAAAAACCAGATTCTCCCATAAAACCACCTTAAAAAAACCAGATACTCCCATAAACCACCTTGAAAACCAGATTCTCCTATAAACCACATAGAAAAACCAGATTCTCCCATATACCATCTTGAAAAACTGGATTATCTTTATAACCACCTTGAAAAGCCAAATTCTCCTATAAACCCCCTTGAAAAATCATATTCTCCCATTAACCACCTTGAAAACTAGGTTCTCCCATAAACCACCTTGAAAATCAGATTCTCCCATATACCAACTTTAAGATCAGATTCTCCTATTAACCACCTTGAAAATCAATTCTTCCATAAACCACCTTGAAAATCAGATTCTCCCATAAACCACCTAGAAAAACAAGATTCTCCCATAAACCACCTTGAAAACCCGGACCCTTATTTAAACCCTTTGAAAAATGGGATCCATAAACCACCTTGAAAAATGGGATCCTCATTCCTCCTAAAAAACCCGGTAGAAACCGAATCCTCCCAAAAACAACTGAAGTAACCGGATCATCCCATACAACTCGTCCTATAAAAGTCAGATTGGGATATCCTTCAATAAATCAATTATCTGCAATACTTCCAGCTCTGTTATACTGTAAGGAAGAAACCAGCAGCTTACAGTAGAAACTAAAAAAAGAAAAAATGTCAAAGAATATTTTAAAATTTAAAAAATGAAGCTAAAGTCGTGGTCCTATAGTTCTTTCCAAGTATTTGATTAAAGGAGTTGAGTCTTTTTGCCACAAACACATATTTTCTAATCCTTATTTGCAATCCAATATCGTGACTAAATATATAAGATATTTCAAACAAGGAATTCTTTCTCATCAAATAATCTAAGTTTAAAATATTAAAGGTGATAACCTTCAGGTTGTAAGGGTATAAGGATAAACAAATTTGAGCTTATGGCAAAGACTCAATTATTTTGAAGGTGAGGGAAAGGGGGGGGGGTGAAGCCTAAAAATTTACATCGTATAAAGTTTTTACCTGTGCTCTATATCACCAGGTTTAAGTAGAGGAGACAGTTTCAATAGAACTTGAAACGTGATGACCGGGCCAGAGCATCTAACCATAATCCAGCTTATTTTAGTACAGTTTAGGGATGGGACAGCACTGTAAAAAAGTCTACGCTAGCATAGAGCCAGCACTAGAATATGGGTATACATACATTTCCCCGCTCTTCTTAGCATAGAGTATGGTTCACGACAACAGGCCTTTTCTTAAGTAGAGATAGTTATATGGGGGACAACCGAACCAGCGTATTTAACTTGAACCCGCGATTCTTTAGACACATATTATAGGCTCAATCTTAGACCCAAATTATGAATCAGCTGACGACGACCTTGGTTAGTTTTAGTGGAGATTTACTCTCAATGTTAGCCTTATTCTTATCAAATACCTCAAATCCGCCAATTTCAACCATGAGAATTGAAAATCCATCAGATACACTATTAAACCAGTTTAATAAACCCAATTCTTTGGAAATTAGCTGCAACTTAAATCTGAATGCTCCTGTCTTAAATTAACATCAATGACAGCAAACTGAATTAAGAAATGTTGCCTTTTTTAAGAGTGTACACAAATGATTGAAAACATACTTTGAAGATGCCGAAAATATTCAGATATCGTTACTTAAAATTTCACGACTAAAAATCCAAACAAAATCCAAACAGTGGATTTTTAAAGAGGACAGATCAAAGCAAATATCAACGCTATAAGAGCCGAATAGTGATATTTAGAAAATTCAAATACATCATGATGTCTGCAAGAATAAGCTTTAAAAATCAGAATGCGATAAGTTCAACTTTCTGAAAATTATTTTATTTCCTATAGGACCTAAAACTCTTTAAAGTGACGATATGAAGATTGAATTTAGTATTTTGTATTGAATAAGATCTTTGAAAAGTATATTAATTAATTTGGCAAAAAAGAAACAATTCTAAAGCACTAGGGAACCCCGAATGCAAGAAACAAGACAGAATAAATTTCGTACAGTCGTCTCTGAAGTAACATCCTTTGAAGGTAACCATGTATATAATTCCTAGACCCATGGGTATTAAAGATAGGTGCCATAAGTGTACAATGTACAATGTACACTGTACAGTACAGTACAGTATGAGCTGTAAGCTGTAGATTCCTAAGCAGACATTCAGAAAATAGATTCCAGGTTAGCGGGCATTCATCCTACAAATATTATTATTATTATTACCAATCAACCTACAGGGCTAACATATTTAAGTTTTCTTTTCGACTGCTCGACATTAGAATTCATTTTTTGAATTAAATCAGCTTTTACTTCTCATCATGGCCAGATTTTTTTACAACGCTGATTTTTTCCCAGTCCTTTCTTAATTAACGTAACAATTGTACTTCTTACCTTTATATACACTTGTAAAATATGTTCTGCAACCTTCATCGAGCACTCTGCAGAGAGCAGGCCTAGGTCTGCCAATAGATCTAAAATAATATTTAGGAGAATTTATTTTGTTAAAAAATCATTTCCCCAACTCTGTATCTCCTAATTCAATACTTGTATCTCATTCTCTTAGTTCAATACCTGTATCTCCTTTTTCAATACCTGGAACTCCTAGTTCAAATACCTGTATCTACTTGTTCAAATACCTGTATCTCCTAGTTCAATACCTGTATCTCCTAGTCCAATAACTGTTTCTCCTAGTTCAATATTTGTATCTCCTAGTTCAATACCTGTATCTCCTAGTTCAATACCTGAATCTCCTAGTTCAATACCTGAATCTCCCAGTTAAAATACCTGTATCAATTGTATCTCCTAGTTCAATACCTGTATCTCCTAGTTCAATACTTGTATCTCCTAGTTCAAATTCCTGTATATCCTTGTTCAATTCCTATATCTCCTAGTTCAATACTTGTATCTCCTAGTCCAATACCTGTATCTCCTAGTTAAAATACCTGTATCTCCTAGTTCAATACCTGTAACTCCTAGTTTAATACTTTTATCTCCTACTTAAATATCTGTATCTCCTAGTTCAATACTTGTATCTCCTAGTTCAAATTCCTGTATCTCCTTGTTCAATTCCTATATCTCCTAGTTCAATACTTGTATCTCCTAGTTCAATATCTGTTTCTCCTAGTTCAAATACCTGTATCTCCTAGTTCAATACCTGTATCTTCTAGTTCAATACTTGTATCTCCTAGTCCAATACCTGTATCTCCTAGTTCAATACCTGTATCTCCTAGTTCAATATCTGTATCTCCTAGTTCAATACCTGTATCTCCTAGTTCAATACCTGCATCTGCTAGTTCAATTAACTGTATCTCCTAGTTCAATACTTGTATCTCCTAGTTCAATACCTTTATCTCCTAGTTCAATATCTGTATCTCCTAGTCCAATGCCTGTATCTCCTAGTTCAAATACCTGTATCTCCAAATTCAATATCTGTATCTCCTAGTTCAATACCTTTATCTCCTAGTCCAATACCTGTATCTCCTAGTTCAATACCTGTATCTCCTAGTTCAATACCTGTATCTCCTAGTTCAAATACCTGTATCTCCTAGTTCAATACCTTTATCTCCTAGTCCAATACCTATATCTCCTAGTTCAATACCTGTATCTCCTAGTTCAATACCTGTATCTCCTAGTTCAAATACCTGAATCTCCTAGTTCAATACCTATATCTCCTAGTTCAATACCTGAATCTCCTAGTTCAAAATACCTGTATCAATTGTATCTCCTAGTTCAAATAACTGTATCTCCTAGTTCAATACATGTATCTCCTAGTTCAATACCTGTATCTCCTAGTTCAAATACCTGTATCTCCTAGTTCAATACCTATATCTCCTAGTTCAATACCTGAATCTCCTAGTTCAAATACCTGAATCTCCTAGTTCAATGAGAAGAGGTATCTCCTCGTCTATGGGTTTCTTATACACAAGCATGCACCTAATTAGAGAAATACGTAATTAATCAGTGAATCAGATAGTTTTTAAACGGAAACTTTTAACTTTTAACTTAGTTGAAAATTAGAAGGAAAAATATTCTTTGTCATCAAAATATTGAAAAAGATACAAAACTTTATAAGAAAGTAAAGTACAATACGATGCTAGTAGTACTGCCTTGAAAGTGTTCTTCATCCATGGCCCGTAGACAGGATACTATTAGGGTACTATTATACTTTTACATCTCGGCTCTTTTTTTAAAAAAGATTCTGACAATTATGTTTTAAAGAAATGATTATCAGTTGCTTTGGCTTGATACGATAGCAGTATTATCATAATACTAGACTTTTAGGGCGCTATGCGCACACCTTCTATTTCAAGTGAGAACATTTTCTCTTTGTTATATACATTAACAAACAAAATCAAAAAAGTTAATGGATTTTATACAAAAAACGTTGATTTTAAAAATTTATTGTAAATCGAATTTTGTTGGAGACAAATTTTTGAAATTTTTATCGTTCATTAAACCTTCCCTGAGGTCATGTGAAGTTTCACACAAAATTTGGGCCCGACCGGTTCAGCCGTTTTGACATTTATTGGATACAAACGGACAGACAGACAGTCAAGCAAAGTATTATAGACCAGGGTTTTAGGGCGCTTCGCGGATATCTTCTTTTTCAACTGTGAACATTTTCTCTTTGTATACATTGTAAAACAAAAACAAAATTTTTAAAATTTTCAAAAATCGAATTTAGTTAGAGGCAATTTTTGAAAATTCGATCATCCATACCTGGGGTCACGTGAGGTCCCACAAAAAAATTGGACCCGATCGGCCGTTTTGACGCTTATTGGAAACAAACAAACAGACACCCAAACAATGTATATATAGATAGACGAAGTAAACTAACAGTACGTTAAAAGTCAAATTAAAGGTAAATAAAAGTTGTAAATGAAGATGAAATATTTTTGTTTCAAGTTATAAAATTAGATAATTATAAATATACTGAAACATGAACAAATTTGGATTTAATCCTGATACCATACAGCTGGAAATAAAGTACCCAATAGAACTCTTCCCTTCTATTCAACACAAACCTGGCGTAACTTGGCATGAATGAGTTGAGTTTAGACCAGGCTAGCTGGGCTGGGGGGCTGGTCAAACCAGATTCAATCATCAGAAAGTTGGCTAGTGGAAATAATTCAAGGTTTTCCAAGCTTTTGTGAGATCCTAGAAAAGAGAGTTTTTGTAAACATCATATTTGAACACATATGCTACTTTACGTTGTAAGCGTATTTTCAAAGTAACTCTCAGTGCAAAGAGGGGAATGCCTATTTTACAAAGGTACCCTCCAACCTGTTGACTGATAATTGGGGGCAAAGAACTCTCTATCAAAAGGTGTTTAAATTGACATAAAACTGGAGTGTATGCTAGCGTACAGTTTAAACTCAACAAAGCTTACTTTTCGTATATGTCTCGAAAATACCAACATTCTTTGCCAAACGCTATTTTGTAAAATTCAGAGGTTAATATTTATTTTCTACGACTTATAACAATAACACCAATATGGAATCCTTCAAGAAATTAAAGCAATCTTTTCTTCACATTAAAAACATTAATATTAAAAGAAAAGTTTTGAAAATCCTGTTATTTACCTTTAATGTTTGGATACTTGTTGAGGTAGGAAAGGTTTGTGGCTTTAAATGCTTGATTTATAAAATTAAAGAAGGAAGGATGTTGTTTACACAGATCACTCCACTCACGTGGCCAACCTTAACAATCGATCAATCAAATACAGTGGTCGACGTTTATATCAATACGATAAAGACAACTTCTCTATTTAAATTTTGATCTCTAAAAGGCGTTTTTTCGAATTACAAACAAAGAGAAGCTGTTAATTTGTTTCTATGTTTGTGTACTAGCTTGGGAATCCAGCGCTGTCAAGGTTACTAAAAGTTACTCCTGCCATTTACCCGCATGATTTCTACCGGGAAACTAAATTAGTTTTTCCTCAAAGAATGCGATATTTTGAAGAAAAAAAATGATTTTTGAAAAAAAATAATGAATATTTTAGCCTATGTTACCCCTCGGAAAAAATGTTAGCCCACTCGGTCCAGCAGTTTAAAAAACTACCCTTTACCCATCCATTCATGCATAAATAAAATTGTATTTATGAGTGAATGGCTTTATTTTATAGATTGTAAAAAACTCCCACCTGGAATATGAACAGCTAGAGCTCGACAAAAATATGAAAACCATTCAGTTTCAAGTTCACTCATCAAGTCAACACATCCTAGTTAAAAGAGTAATATGCTGAAACCTTCAAGAAGGTAGAGAAGGTGAGGGGGGTAGGTTTTTTTTGCAGTTTTTGATTGATATTTTGCACCTTGAATCCGGCTCAAGGGCGCCAAAATCTTATCTGGTTACTAACCTAAGCACTATTTGACCTAAAACATCGGAACAGTACAAACGTCAAACACAAACTTCGGACAGTACAACCGTAGAACAAGTACAAACGTCGGACTTACTTATAAAATTTATTAAAACAAACTTGAAGTCTAAATGTTGAAGGCTAAAAATAAAAAAAATAAAATTGATTTCTCTTCATAAATCAGTAACCTAATTTTTTTATAGATTGAGAGACAGCAGGTTAATTATATCCTAGTCAAGCAAGGGGACGCCAACTAATTAAAGTAAACTTTCGCGAAAAAAACGTAAAAACGCGCAAATTTGCTTGCATATTCTCCAAATAAATAAATTCTTGTCCACCAAACGTCAAAATTGGTTAAAAAATTAGCAATTGTCTGCCTAATTTTAAATTTTCTCCCAGAGATAATCCATGAAGAAATGTTACCTCATATTTCTTAAATGTTGTGTAAATACCTGGTATTGAGATGGATGTATAAAGGTACTTCAGGTACTCAAGGTACTCAAAGTACTCCAGGTAGTTTAAGTTATTTATTAAATGTTATATAAATGTGTATACCTGGTATTGTGATGGATGTGTAAGGTACTCCAGTTACTCCAGGTACTCCAGGTAGTTCAATGTATTTAATAATGTTGTATAAATGTGTATACCTGGTATTGAGATGAATGTATAAAGGCACTCCAGGTACTCCAGGTAGATCAAGGTATTAAATAATGTTGTATAAATGTGTATACCTGGTATTGAGATGGATGTACTCCTGGTTCTCCAAGTAGATTAAGGTATAAATCTGTATACCTGGTATTAAGATGGATGTATTAAGGTACTCCAGGTACTCAAGGTACTCCAGGTAGATCAATGTATTTAATAATGTTGTGTAAATACCTGGTATTGAGATGGATGTATAAAGGTACTCCAGGTACTCAAGGTACTCCAGGTAGTTCAATGTATTTAATAATGTTGTGTAAATGTGTATACTTGGTATTGAGATGGATGAATAAAGGTACTCCAGGTACTCCAGGTAAATCAAGGTATTAAATAATGTTGTATAAATGTGTATACCTGGTACTGAGATGGATGTACTCCTGATACTCCAGGTAGATTAAGGTATAAATCTGTATACCTGGTATTGAGATGGATGTATAAAGGTACTCCAGGTACTCCAGGTAGATCAAGGTATTAAATAATGTTGTATAAATGTATATACCTGGTATTGAGATGGATGTATAAAGATACTCCAGGTACTCCAGGTAGATCAAGGTAAAAATGTTTATACCTGGTATTGAGATTGATGTATAAAGGTACTCCAGGTACTTAAATGTGTGGAAGAGAAGACAGCTTGGTGGCAATATTAAAGTCTGAAAAAGTAACAAGAAAAATACATTTATCTCAAAAGAAAAATCTCAAAATAATACTTTTTTAATTTAAGTCATAAGACATTTAATTATGCTAATACCTGACTTTGAATAATGTGAATACAGCACTCTGAGTTAATTGATAGAATACGCTCTAAAATAATAAAATATGCTAAAAAATGGTGGTTGCCTCATTTCTTTCCTACAGCTAGGTATCTAACTAGATTTTAGGGAGCTCTACATCCTGATATCCTACCTAGGTATCTGACTAGATTAAGGAGCTCTATAGCCTGATATCCTACCTAGGTATCTAACTAGATTTTAGGGAGCTCTACATCATGATATCCTACCTAGGTATCTGACTAGATTAAGAAGCTCTATATCCTGATATCCTACCTAGGTATCTGACTAGATTAAGGAGCGCTATATCCTAATATTCTACCTAGGTATCTGACTAGATTAAGGAGCTCTATACCCTGATATCCTACCTAGGTATCTAACTAGATTAAGGAGCTCTATATCCTGATATCCTACCTAGGTATCTGACTAGATTAAGGAGCTCTATATCCTGATATCCTACCTAGGTATCTGACTAGACTAAGGAGTTCTATATCCTGATATACTACCTAAGTATCTGACTAGATTAAGGAGCTCTATATCCTGATATACTACATAGGTATCTGACTAGATTAATGAGCTCTATATCCTGATATCCTACCTAGGTATCTGACTAGATTAAGGAGTTCTATATCCTGATATCCAGCTAGAAAATTAGCACAAGAAAACACATTCTCTAAGTCTATCTGTTCCAGCATTATCGGACTAAGCTCTTTTCTCATCTCAGCATCAACACTTTAATATATTAAAGTTAAAGTATATATATATTGCAATCTTTTTCAGGGGTACTTATCTTTTTTAAGAATTGTATGAAAAAATGATTTTTGATGCTCTGGTAAAAATATGAAAATTTGGGCATAAAAGAAATTTTAAATTCACTTTAATTTTGATACTTTTTAGTACCCAAGAAATGATGTTTTTCCTTTAAATGAATCATACGATAGTTTTAATCAACCACTCAATTTTCATGTTTCGTGGGACATGTGGAACACAAACAGACTAGGGACATGTGGGACACAAACAGACTAGGACATGGGACACAACACAGACTAGGGACATGTGGGACACAAACAGAATCAACAATACCAAATGGCAAATAGAAATGAAACTCACCTAAGAATATATTTGTATGTGTAATAGTTTGTAACATCTAGATTTTCCACTATTTTATCACATGGGAGCATTTCAGAAAATGAAACTAGAAATAAATATGCTTATGTTCTTTTTTGATTATTTTTCAATCAAGAAAGGTTTAAAAAAATCACAATTGAAGGAATGTTTATGGCAAAATAATTCTAGGGAGTCTCTATTTTTTAGACTTATTTGACTTAGTGTTCAAATCTATGCATATAAACATGTTTTGATTGAAGGGGATTTTAAAGCGTAATTATGCATAATGTTAATATTTACTAGGAGCTCATTTTTGTAGAAAATAGTATCAAGTATTGTTACCTAATGTTTTAGCAATGAATAAATCAAAATCAACAGCTGACTGAGTAAAGATAGGGATCAGCTGTTGATAAATATAATCCGGCGCGGCAGTTGCCCAAGGCTCTGCCTCGTGTAAAGGGCTGAACAGTCTGGAAACTAGGCTAGGATTAGAAAATACTGCCTCCAGCCCTTGATCAACAAAAAGTTACAATTATTGGAACAAGTTAAAAAAAAATAAAAATTGGCTTTCTTGAATCCCATTAATGCGGAAATTTGAGAATTATAAGACCGTGACTAAATAAAGGTGTCTTTTAAATGGACTGCAGTCGACCTATTTGAGATTAACAATGAGTAGAATATGTTAGGTTTTCTGTTTAAAAAGATGTTTAAATTCTCTCATTTCTTTTGCCATTTTTGGTAACATCAAGATTAGCGTCTGCAAATGACTTAGAAGTTAAATGTGAAGCTAATATTAGAAATGTAGCAGGTACAAAGCATCATGCTGTTACTACTGCAGAAAACCAGAATTGAAAATTATCTTAACAAATCCACATGAGCAAATCAAATCTTTTAAAAATGCAATTTTCTCGCAATTGTTGTTCCTTTCATAATTTTTACTTTATGGACATCTGTTAAATAACCAGAGATATCTAACAATAAATTCTATTTTTATAGGAAGCACTAAGCAGCAATATACATACGTTGAAAATGTGCATAGATAAATGTTGGCCACTAGCTTTTTTTTTTCTTGCTTGATCAAGATTAGTTAAAAAATCTTTTAAAATATACGATGATTTTTTTTTAAAAAAACTAATATGAGATATTCTTTAAGAAAAGTAACAAATTTTTCTCTAAGATTAAATCAAGTGAGAGTGGATTAAACAATTTTGAGCTGAAAAATTTAGAATGGTGGATATCGAGATTAATGCTTGATCCTCTCTTTTTCTTAATATCGAGACTAATCTAATCTTGTAGTTGTATCCTGAAAGGTGTATAAAATTCAAACAATCACAGTCGCTTATATGAAGCCGATAAATTTGAAATTTTGCGCGCCATTTAAGATTATATACAGATGTATAAAATTCAAACAATCAGAGTCGCTTATATGAAGCCGATAAATTTGAAATTTTGCGCGCCATTTAAGATTATATACAGAAATGGGAGGAACTCTATAATTTAGGAAAACCGGTTTTTGATTTTTCTCTACTATATCCAAGAAAGAACGGTTTAAGAAAAAAATCAAAAGTTTGTCCATTAGATACTCATATTAAGTAATCGGGATTAAGGATATCTCATTCTAAAGTTTTCAGCTCTGTACAGATAAAGACAAAAATGCTATTTTTCTTCTTAATCATTCATAGAATTAAAACCTAAATACTCAACATCGTCGTTCTCTTTCTTAAAATCTAAAATAGAAAAGAAAACGATTAAATTAACAGAATTTTTGGCACCTTACACTCAAACCAAATAAACCTTCAGCACAGAATAAAATACAATAAAATAAAAAAAATAAAATAAAAAATAATATTATTATAATATAATAATAATAAAATAATAATAATATATAAAAAAGACTTAAAGTGAGTTAACAAACAAATTGTGAATGGTTAAAGAAATAGATATTTTTAATGATTTAAAAGGGTCCTGTCGTAAATTGGACAAGCTACTTAATAAATGGAAAAGCACGAAAATACGCCAACAGTCCCTTTTAGCCAAAATAAAACATTTTCTACAGTGTTATTAATTACTAAATATTCTAATCACAAAAAAAATTGAGAAAAAATAAAATATTACTAATAATACCTAGAAAAAGTTCTCGAAGAGCATTTCCTAAGGATTTCGTATTCGCCAATCTAGAAAAAATATGCATACAAGTTTATATCTAGATTTTGAATTTTTATGAAAATGAATAACCACAACTATTATTGAAATGATATTATTGTAAGGTAACAAGATAAATACACAAGTTATATTTTTATTATTATTTTTGATAAATCAGCATTCAGCATATTAGGCTTAAAAACAGATCACTTTTACTAATTTCGAATAAAAATAGTAACACAACAAATCTTCGAAGCTTTCTGTAAAAGAAATAAATACGAAATCAGAACTACAGGAATACAGGGATCAATGCATTAGATTTACTAAAACTAATCCTTTAACAACATATGCATTGCAATGGTGTTTAATAATAATAATAATAATAATAATATCAAATCAAATTAAATTAAAGAAATTTAACTAAATCAAATCAAATCCAATCCAATAAAATCAATCAAGGTATACTTCATACTTCCAGAAAACCCCAACCTGAACTCTGGGTTAGAATATATTTGATGAAAGAGACGAGCCAGTTCGTCAACCTTGCTCTGCAGTTCTGTACCACGCAGCTCCTAAATACAGTGCATAGTCTCAAAATTTATGTGATACATTTTTTGTTTACGGTAAAACATCCTTAAGTTGATAGTCACTTGACGTGCCAATCAGGAGTAGCATCCTTAGTTCTAAATTGTTTAATTGTTAGACTCAAAGATGAACATGTATGCAGGAGTTGCCAGTAAATAAGACATAAGACAAATTTAAGCCGACTCCTTGAAATATATTTGATGTAAACATTTTCCTCCAAAATCACTCCACCCCACCCCCCTCATAATCCGAACTTTTTTTTATATTATCCTAAGTCAATGCAATTTGTATTCACCGAATCAAACCTCCAGCAAAAGCCATAAGAATATTCAAAACAAAATTTATATTCATAATTTACTTTAGTCTCCATTAATCTAATCAATTTCTTTTGATTTCGAATTTTTTACCAGTCTTTAGAATGAAAATTACCAAAACAGAAAGAAACACTCACTGAAAAATTGTAATTTGCTAAAGAAATTAAGTGTTTGCCACAAACTTAATTTTTCCAATCCCTATATCTTTGCAACTGGATGGTGTAAACCTTTGATATTTCGAACTTATTATTTGATCTAACACAATTCAAAGTTAGAAATATCTAAGGTAACGACATTGGGTTGCAAAGATATAGAATTCGGAAAATCAGAGTTTGCGTTTGAACCAACCTCCTGAATTCTCCTAGATAACCCTAAACGTGGACTATCAAGCTCCATCCGTTTCTCCATTCTCTGCTCAATTATCCGGGATATATTGGAGGTTCCATCCATCAAACTGGAGAGGTGGGATCCTCCCTCCAATATCTTTCCGCCCCTCTCCAGTAGAATCTCCATTCCTGAGACAAGAACGTCCCCAAGAATACTGGTTTCCTAGAACATAAGATCTTGAGACAAGAACATCTCCAATAATACTGGTTTCCAAGAATACAAGATCATTATACCAGTTATATTCCTATTCTTGAGACAAGAACATCTCCAATAATGCTGGTTACCAAGAATACAAGATCATTATACCAGATATATTTCTATTTTTGAGACAAGAACATCTCCAATAATACTGGTTTCCAAGAATACAAGATTATTATACCAGATATATTCCTATTCTTGAGACAAGAACATCTCCAATAATACTGGTTTCCAAGAATACAAGATCATTATACCAGATATATTTCTATTCTTGAGACAAGAACATCTCCAATAATGCTGGTTACCAAGAATACAAGATCATTATACCAGATATATTTCTATTCTTGAGACAAGAACATCTCCAAGTATTTAGGTTTCCTGAAACACAAGATCATTATACCAGATATATTCCTATTCTTGAGACAAGAACATCTCCAAGAATATAGGTTTCCTGAAACACAAGATCAATATACCAGATATATTTCTATCCTACAGCCTACCAGAAGTGTACACGTTGTTCTTACATTACTTGCAACAAATATATTTTCATTAATTTTCGAGTGATTTCTACGCATTTAACGGTTTTGAACTCGGTGTTTCAACACGCATATATTGATTTATTTTGACGACATTTTTTTCTGGCTTACATTATTAGTGATTTGACTTACACAAAAAAAAAGAAAAAAATCTTAATGATTTCGAAAATCATAAAACAAAAATCTTAAATCTTTTTTAAAATGCGTCAAAGAAAATTTAACAACGTGGATTTGCTATGAATTTATATCAAAACAGTTTTTTTTTACCCTTAACCAATTATTCACCTGCATAGAAGGTATTATAGGTCCCTCACCAAACCTCTCTTCAGGCATTCTGATCAAACCCATACTTCAAACATGATATCAAGTCACCCTATGGCGTACAATTACAACGGTATCCCCTTTGTCTGATCAAGTATGGACGAGATATTCTTAGTTGTTAAATTGAAATTTTGTGGCTTCTCTATAGCAAGTAACTTGCGCATCAAAGCTGCAGAGACAATGTAGAAAATTAAAAGAATTAATGACTTTTTTTTGACAGCAACAGGACACTTAGCTAACACTTAAATAGAGGTTATTCTCCTGAGAAATTAACTAAAGCATAAACAGTTTTAAAAACAAGTTTTAAATATAAAAAGGAAGACATCCCTACAAAAATAAAGGTTGAAATTTATTCTACAAAATCATTGTTAAAAATGAAAGCATGGGTTCCTTGAGGGTTCAGTTATTAGCTCAAAAACTTTATATCTATCCCTGCTCTCTACTCCATTGGTTTCTTCTTGGGGTTTCTTAATCCGGTTGTTTTGGCTGAGTAGATCCAAGCAAGCATATGGATCTTCCTGGTTGATCAAAACATTTTCATCTTCTACTATTTCTAATATTTCTCCGCCATTGTCTTCAGATTTTTGATCTATTTCCATGTTGTGAAGAAGCATGGTTGAGTTCTCTTCATAGTTCTAAAATTGGAAATATATAGAACTTTACATTAGTAATTGAAGTATAATGGATAATAGTGAACTGTAAGTGTAACGGGGTATTTTGGAGAAAACTTAAGTTGTAGTGAAGGGATTATCATGGAGTTTAGTAGAGCGTGCTTGATTAAAATGGAGGATATTGGAGTAATGGGAGTAAAATGTATTATAATGGAGTACATCGGTAAATAATGAAGAAAGTGGAATAGATGGAATAAAACTGAAGTTAGAGTATATTTTACCTGATTAACATTTATATATATTCCTGCTTCTCTGGCTTGTTCTTCTAATAGATGGATTATATCTGAAGTTAGAGTATAGTTTACCTGATTAATATTTATATATATTCCTGCTTCTCTGGCTTGTTCTTCTAATAGATGGATTATAACTGAAGTTAGAGTATAGTTTACCTGATTAACATTTATATATATTCCTGCTTCTCTGGCTTGTTCTTCTAATCGTTCTTTTAACTTCTCTGTTGCCTAAAAATTAAAGAGCAGAGATCATTTATTGTCTGTTCTGGCAACTTTTGTGTTAGATACTCATTATTATAATTGCTTGATCTAGATTTCCACTGTGGGCCCTTTTAATTCAAGGATCAATGCCTAATCTCTTCGTTTCACTTTCAGTTATCCTTTCAGAATACAATTACACTGCAGATATCGAATAAAGATTAAATAAATATCCAGATCGAGTTCCCAGCTATATTCAGAGAAAATTCTCAGTTTAAGATCAACAATAGAATAAAAGGTACCTAATGAGTAATGATACATAATTACAATCTAAGTAAAATGAATCTCATAACTATGATTATATTAATCTCACCTAGACAACCTTCCTACCTGGTTAATGTTGTCTGCAGTTTCTACATCACATCTTCCATTGATCAAACTATCTACACAGAAATCAACTCAGATCATAACCAGGAATATCAAAGATATTGAATAAAATATACACAGGTAAAGAACATAAAGAAAAGTAATCTGCAAGAGCCCCCCNTTATCTGATAAGAAATAATGAAGATAAATGTGTTTAACTTTCATAGTTCCTAATCAAAAAAATGCACAAGTCACTTTTATTAAAACATAACAAATAACAAATAATTAATATCAAGTTAATTTCAAGGAAACTTCATTCATCCGTCATCTGACAAAAGGTTAAAGTATTGCTTGTAGAAATAGAGGGTCCCTTGAAATAAAGTCTAGAGTTCATGTAACTTGGCTTATTACTACCTGGCCAGAGCTGAAAACTTTAGAATGGTGGATATCGAGATGCTTATCTCCTCTTTTCCCTCATCTCCAAGTTAAATAATGCTTGTTCTCCTCTAGTTATTTATCTCCACATTAATTAACAGATCAGGATTAAGGATATCCCATTCTAAAGTTTTCAGCGCAGGGGACTTTTGTAATAGGCATTACATGTTTGATTATAAAATAAATTCAATCTTTCATCAAGATTCTATGATAATCGATATAATAATAAAAAGTTAAATTTATATTGCTTGAAACTTACCTACTGAGCTTTTAATACTACTTGCACCACTTAAACTATAAATATCAGTAACTTAAGACATAAATAAAAGTGAAATCTTTCCCACAAATCCAATAATTAAAAGTTATAAAAATTGCTGAAAAATTCCAATTTCAGGGGCTAATTCTAATAAAAAGGGGAAGGGGGCACTGCAAATCAAAATAGGCTGGCTTTAAAGCATAAATCTAACAGGTTTTTTACAATCACTCCTTTTAAATTGCAGCTAAAAACAAGCAAATTGCAGTTTTAAATGTACCTGTCTAAGGCTGCAAAAAAGTATAAACGAACTGGTGGGACAAAACTAAAACCTGGGTCATTGTGACACTTAAAAGTAGACGCAATCTTAAAACCTGATAAATAACTATCCTAGTTGTCTAGATGTGTTATCCATCTTGAATGGGATAGGGGGGAGGGGATAAAATCACCAATTCAATTTTTATAAACAGAAGGGAATCAGCTTATAAAGAATTAAAACCAGCGGACCTTTCAAGGTCTTTTTTTATACGAGTTACAGATTCCTGTCTCTAGCTCCAAACTTTATATCGTAGAGCTGCAGAGCCTGCAAACCTTGTTCACTTGCAGATATTTTCCGCCTAGAAATATTTTATACTAGCTCATTTTAGAAAAACTAAATTTAGAATTAAAAAAAAACTAAATTCGATTTTATAGCACATATTACCCCTGGGGTTCACAAGCTAAAATATATTAACACATATTTATTTATAAGAGCAAAGAGCTTCATTGTACTATAGGCCTTCAACTAGGGTTTCCAGCGAACGAAAACTTTCGGGAAAAAATGCGAAACTTTTCACACTTATTTCGCAAACTTTTTTACGAACTTTCATAATTTTTGCGAAAATAAATTAAGCTAAAAATGATTCAAAAACAGTGCAAAATTTCGCAAAAACACTCTTCACGAGCATTATTTTTCCAATAATTTTGTGAAAAATTAAATTCCGTGAAAACCAAAGCTGCAGCACATAATTCCGCAAAAAAACTTGTCGAATTCTCTACTCTGAGAGCTCATCATTAGAAATTTAAGTATATAATAATTAATAATTTCTCTACTGTTTTTTTCGCAATATCTTTGCATTTTCCCCGCTATTTTTTGTGTTTCATCACGAAATTTTCGCATTTTTTATTTTGCGAAAAATTGGCATTTTTTGCGAAAATTGTAACTGTTGATGTTCTAGCTAAACGCTCTTTTAAAATAGTCACCGTCTTTCCCAAGGTGTCTTTTTCCTGACTTATTTTCAACTTTTGCCTCTAAAACTTTTAACAGTTTCTTTTCTACTAGGGGTAAAGGCAGAGTACTAACAGGTAAAATAGACAATCCCCTTGCTACTTTAGACTGAATCTGTAAACATGGGAACAGATAGTCGGGACTGAACTGATGAACAGAAGGGCTAGGGCATATTCTGCTTGCTTCTTTAGATTGATTCTGCATGCATGGATATGATTCTGATCTCTGTATGTTGAAGGGCCCTGGCGATTAAGACTGACCTGATAAAACAGGAAAGCTAGGAAATATTCTGCTTGCTGCTCCTGATTGATTCTGCATGCATCGATATGATGCTGATCTCTGTATGTTAAAGGAATCTGGTGATTAGGACTGACCTGATAAAACAGGAAAGCTAGGACATATTATGCTTGCTGTTCCTAATTGACTCTGCAAGCATGCACAGGATTCTGGCCTCTGCCTTGTAAGGTGTTTAAACCAATTGACCCTGGTCGTTGAGGAACAGGTGACACAGTATTAAATTAATTAAATTAATTAAAAGGATAAAAAAAGAAAATAATGTGTGCAGGGGAATGTCAAAACATCTATGAGTCTCTTCTTCAAAGGATGTTTTCCTTCTAGTTGCATTCCTACAGCTTAGCATAACAGAGCTCTGCACTATTTGCAGTGGACGCTGTGAAAGGTGTCTGCACATACAGAGGGAGGAAAGGCCAAGTGGCTCTGAACCCCGTGATCCTACCTAACTACAGTAGCCACGGCCAGGGTACAAAGTGAAGAAATAGGAATAACTTAGAGCTACTTTGTCTAATACTAATCGGGTTTTATTTCAACAAGGTCTGCCTAGAATTAGACAATCAAAAAATAGTTGAGCTAGGTATGGATACTTCTCTACTGTACTCTAGACCATTCTTATAGAGAAACAGCACACCTATCAATACCTATGTTGTACAACAATTTTTACTATCTATAAAATCTGGCCTGTGGTTACACTACTTCTTTGCCTAACTTCTGAACCTAACAAAGTTACATCAAATACAGACAATTTTACCATCTGAGGTTGAAACATGATATTTCTATCTGAATTTAAAGGAAATTACCGGCAATGTATGGTAGTTGAACTGAGAATGTAGTATTGTGGAGATATCAGGATTCACTTAAGTCATATAAAAGGTTATAATGATGTATAATTACTGAGTTTGAGCGCAAAGCCGCCATTCAAAATCATCCATTTGGGTGGTTACGTTTTAAAAATCGATTTTTTAAAATTATTAAATAACGAAACGACAACAAAAATGTAAAGTAAAATTCTACAGTAAACTAATTAGATGTTTAGGAACATATTTCTCAATTGAAATCTTCTCAATAAATCAATGTTTGAATCAACTATTTCTGTTTCATCATTATATTGAATTTCTTATTCTTTATGAATTTCTTTGCATATTTCTTCAAATTCTACAAATGCTGTCTTTTCAATAAAAATTCCAGGAAATCTACAGAAAATGTTTGTGAACAATGAGAAATTACAGACACCAATAACTGAATAAGATTACTAATTTTCGATGATAATAGCTAATTTTCATTTTCTCAACCTGTTTCTTAACAACTAATTAGTTTGCTGTAAGATCTTTACTACATTTTTCAGTGTCGTTATTGAATAATTTTGTAAAAACCCATTCTCAAAATCATCCCTCAAAATTTCTCCAAACTACTACATTCTCAGTACAACAACCATACACTGCCGGTCACTCCCTTAAAAAAAATATTTTATCTCCTGAAACAAAGACCTTTAAAGGGACTGTAAGGGTAATTTTAAGGGAACCTACATGCAAAGATGTCAATGCCTGATTTACAACTATACCCTTGAAAGCTTAATCTGATAAAAGATGTGAAAGATAACAACATTTTTATGTTAATTTCTCCATTGTGTAAGCAAGAAATGCTCAAGTCACTTTAACAGAGAAGCCACTAAAGACCATAAAAAGATTAAATAAACAATAATATGCAGCTCTAATTCATCCTTGATAAGACAAATTGTAAATGGGCATTACCACTTTGCATGGATGGTCTAAGTGTTATTACACTTACAGTCCCTTTAAGAACAAATGCTGTATTAAAACCACATTTTAAAAAGAATAAAAATCTGAACACTTTAGTTTACCTGGAGCCCGATAAATCTCTGAACCTGTTCCAACGCTTTCCTCCATCCAGAAGATCCTCCTGATTCAGAAAAAAATAAAGACATCTCCCCCCCCCAAAAAAAATCCTTTATGAAAGGGATGAGCTACTTGGATTTTGTTTGAAAGATCGTTTGTAATTTTCAGTTTTTATTATCTTGCTATATTTCTAAGTTTTTTTAATCATAATGTATGCTAAATTTGAGATCATTAACCTAGGATTACACAGTGCTAGCAATACGAATTTATCTGCTACTGAAGCAGAAATGAGTGAGCCAAAACAGAACAAAACAAATAATACATCGTGCAGAGTGAGTGTCCAAAAATACTGGTTTCGACATTATTTTTTTTTTAATTATGAGAATCAGGGACAGTCAACAGAAGAAAAAGAAAAAAAGGAAGAAGGAGAGAAATGCTGACAAGAAGAATAGTAAAATTATAATTTTTCAGTATTAACTGTATTCAATTTATAAAATCAAAAATTAAAAAAAATAGCTTGTTAAGAAAAGAATTATAAATTTTTTCTTTATATATTATAGCTGATTTTTAATACAGCTTTATTATTTACTAGTTTGAGAACCCATCGTGGACTAGGAAATTCATAGTTTGTCCCACCGTTTACACGCCCCTGGTCGTAAATTCAGAGTTTAGCTATTTTTCCTGATAAAAGTCGACCCACTCAATTTAGAATCTCAAAACCAAGATCATTCCCGTGGCTCTCCCGAGTTCACCAATAAAAATTTGAGGCAAATTGGTCCAGGGGTTCCCGAGTTATGATCGGACAAAGAAACAGAGATTACAACTTTATATATATTGATGTAGTCTTTTAAAATAAATAGCGTAACCAATAACAAAATAAATACTTGGAGGACTTAGGAATAAGAGTTTTTTTAAATAAAGATTTGGTAATAAAAGAGGGTGTTTTTTTATTCTATTCTAGAACTGATAATATTATTAAATATATCTATTTTTTTCTTTTTTCCTGAGATTGACTTTTGCTTGATTTGATCTCATCTAAACATTGAATAAATTTGAATTAATACAGAAAAATGATATCAAACTATTACAAAAAACATTACAGTAAGCTAAGAAAATGTAAAATTATGCAGTGATAATAGTAAAAACATCATCTAACAAGTAACAACAGGCAAAGGTGTAAAAGAATCTTAAGCAATTACAATTTTAAAAGGTTTAAATTATGAACAGTCCTAAAGAAACCAAACCCCCTGGCCAATTTAGAGTAACGTGGAGATGACGACATTTATATAGTTAATGAAGCATTATAAAAGCAAATTAGAGGCCTCAAAAATTCAATTTAGAGTTTGTTTAAAAATGTGATGTATTTTCTATGCAATTATTTGTAATAGGTAACAATTAACTAAGGTAGCAAGTAGTGGAACATGATCATGTGCCCTTTAAAGTTAATCTTGAAAATATGGTTAGGGGTAATCGTAATATAGAAATAGAATGACCGCACTATCCTCACCTCGGCGCAAAACTTCTGAGCTGGAGTGAAGACGAGAGTTTCGATCCTGAAATCATTATGTTATTATTGTTATGGTCATTGTTGTCAATACTTTAGGTTCTGTGAGAACCTGGATATATTGTTACATCGACCTAGTAGATCTTTTAATGCAGTCTCTGTTTCAAGGTTATGTGAGAACATGGATATATTGTTACATCAACCTAGTAGATCTTGTAATGCAGTCTCTATTTCAAGGTTATGTGAGAACATGGATATATTGTTTAATCAACATAGTAAATCTTATAATGCAGTCTCTATTTCAAGGTTCTGTGAAAACCTGGATATATTGTTACATCGACCCAGTAGATCTTATAATGCAGTCTCTATTTCAAGGATATGTGAGAACCTGGATATATTGTTACATCAACCTATTAGATCTTATAATGCAGTCTCTGTTTCAAGGTTCTGTGAGAACCTGGATAGTGGATATAGTGTTACATCAACCTAGTAGATCTTATAATGCAGTCTCTGTTTCAAGGTTCTGGGAGAACCTGGATAGTGGACATATAGTGTTACATCAACCTAGTAGATCTTGTAATGCAGTCTTTGTTTCAGGGTTCTGGGACAATGTACAAGTACTATTCCTAGGATAATGTACAAGAACTATAGCTGGGATAATGTACAAGAACTATACCTGGGATAATGTACAAAAACTATACCTGGGATAATGTGCAAGAACTATACCTGGGATAATGTGCAAGAACTATACTTGGGGCAATGTACAAGAACTATACCTGGGATAATGTCAAGAACTATACTTGGGGCAATGTACAAGAACTATACCTGGGATAATGTGCAAGAACTATACCTGGGATAATGTGCAAGAACTATACCTAGGATAATGTGCAAGAACTATACCTGGGATAATGTGCAAGAAATATATCTGGGCCAATGTACAAGAACTATACCTGGGATTGTACAAGAACTATACCTAGGATAATGTACAAGAATTATAACTGGGACAATGTACAAGAATTATACCTGGGATAATGTGCAAGAAATATATCTGGGCCAATGTACAAGAACTATACCTAGGATAATGTACAAGAATTATACCTGGGACAATGTACAAGAATTATACCTGGGATAATGTGCAAGAACTATACCTGGGATAATGCACATTGTACAAGAACTATACCTGGGATAATGTACAAGAACTATACCTGGGATTGTATAAGAACTATACCTGGGATAATGTGCAAGAACTATACCTGGGATAATGTGCAAGAATTATACCTGGGACAATGTACAAGAACTATACCTGGGATAATGCACATTGTACAAGAACTATACCTGGGATAATGTGCAAGAATTATACCTGGGACAATGTACAAGAACTAAACCTGGGATAATGCACATTGTACAAGAACTATACCTAGCACAATGTACAAGAACTATACCTGAGATAATGTACATAGTACAAGAACTATACAAAAGGAAAATGTACAAACCTGCTCCTGGAAAAACTACTCTGTTATGTCTTACTAAACTCTTAAACTGATAAATCAACTTATTTGTTATGCCGCACCTCGGGGGGGATAATAACCAAAATTAACAGCGAAAGTTAATCTCCGCCTAATTGATATAATACATTCATATAGTAAAACATATTAAAATAGTTGCAGAATTTTCGCCTGTAACATTATAACTTGTATGTATGTGTATTATTAGCAATAAACTATATCTTATCTCATCTTTCCTTTACCTGGGACAATGTACATAGTACAAGAACTGTACATGAGAGTGAGACAAAAACTGTACCTAGGACAATGTACATAGTACAAGAACTGTACCTGAGAGTGAGACAAAAACTGTACCTGGGACAATGTACATAGTACAAGAACTGTACATGAGATTGAGACAAAAACTGTACCTGGACAATGTACATAGTACAAGAACTGTACCTGAGAGTGAGACAAAAACTGTACCTGGGACAAAAGAACTGTACCTGAGAGTGAGACAAAAACTGTACCTGGGACAATATACACAGTACAAGAACTGTACCTGAGATTGAGACAAAAACTGTACCTGGGACAAGGATCTGTTGTCTAATCTCTCCAAGGACAATCCTAATCTCTCAACAGCATCCATCAGCTTGAAAACCTGAACAGTAATTTTTTTCAATCCTATTGACAGTGATCAGAGGGGGAAACATTGTGTTTTAAAATCAGTGATTTCTCTAGTCCTGTCCTGTAGAAGACTAAATTTTGACATAATGATCATTTATTTATTGTTAAGGTCAAGAACTGTAATTGAAGGAATTATTTCCGATGCAACTTATGAGAGTTTAGATATCGTCAACAGCCACACAATCGATCAGATAGTCCAGATGAATATTCCCAATTTAAGAATATAAACTCGATATCTTTACCGTTTTCCCACTGGACACCCATTTATTATATTTCATATACTCTGCTTGTATGTCTTTGGATGTCTGTTAGTCTGTTTGTATCTAATAAATGTCAAAACGGCTCAACCGATAAGGCCCAACTTTTGTGTGGGACCTCACTTGACCGAGGGGAGGAAGGCCAGTCACAACAACTTTTCGTCCGAGCCACATTCTCCTCATTTTCTCGTCCGAACCACCTCGAAATCTTCGTCCTTCGATCATTATGTGTTTAAAAATTTCTAGTTGTTGTAGATGAAACTATTTTTAACAAATCTGGCCACGTTAGGCCATAAAAAATGGATAGACTAAAGTAATGCAATGATTAAATCATGTTTAACTTTAGAAACATGAGAATGATGTCAAAACTTAAAACTTTTCTGCCTCCGTAATGGCCTACCTTCGCGATATGAAATAAATAGCAAAATATTTGGCATACCTCTGCCTATCATTTTCACCCCGGGAACCACCCAGAATCTATGGTTTTCACCATAATTAACAAAAAAAGATTAAAGTTCTATAACCTCGGGATTATTAACGGCATTCTACACCAGGAATATCTGAAAATGCGCGTAAAAAAGATGAACATTTTTAAGGACATAGAACTCGAAAACTTCAATTCAATTGAAAAAATTTGTTTCGATTTACTAAAATTCAATATTTCATTTATGCCCTAATGTGGCCCAATTCATAAAAATTAGTTTTATCTTGGAGGACTAGACACTTTCAAAAAATAATATTGGAAGGACGAGGATTTAGAGGTGGCTCGGACGAGAAAATGAGGAGAATGTGGCTCGGACGAGAAATTGTTGTGGCTGGCCTTCCTCCCTCGGTGACCCCAGAGAAAAGTTATTAATGATCCAAATTTCAAAAGTTTGTGTTAAAAAGTTTTTTATTTTTGTAAAATTTTGAAAATGTGCGAAAAAATATTTTGAAATCCGCAAACATTTATTTATTTTTTTTTTTATACTGTACAAAGAGAAGATGCTCACAGATTAAGCCACAGTAAAAAGTTGAAATAGAAATGGGCGCTAAGCGCCCTAAAAACCTAGTTATTTAAAAATCATGATTAAATTTTTTACCTTTTTAGCCTTTGTCTGATCCCTAAGTCTGGAACTAAGGTCTTTAAGTTTCATTATTCTTCTCAAATCATTCTAAATGATTTTAATTAGTAAAATTAGTAATTATATCCAAGAAAACTGTTTGATAAAGCTCATAATAAATCCAAATCTCATATTTCACCTGTAATGTAAAAATATATTTAAAGGAAGTAATAGTTTTACTTTCTCTTTTATGGGTGCAGTTTTTGGGCTGACATGGTGGACATTTCTGAATAATTCTGGTTCGCTGATCTTTAAAATTGTAGTGATGAAATACATTTGACAAAATGAAGAGTGGGAGTCATAAATTATCATATGAACAGCTTAAAATGCAACTAGTCGACCCAAAAACTGTTAGTAAGCTGATTTAATAAAAAATAATTTTTTTTTAATGCTTACACACGTGCACTAATGTTATTAAAAAACAACCTGTGAAAGTGTTCTGATAAGCTTTCTGTTCTGTACAAGCAGGTCAGCACAGCTCTCAAACATATCAATACTGTAACTTGACTCAAGCATAAACTCTAAAACAAGGCCTAGGTTTCAAACATATTAATACTGTAACTTGACTCAAGCATAAACTCTAAAACAAGACCTAGGTTTCAAGCATATCAACACTGTAACTTGCCTCAAGCATAAACTCTAAAACAAGGTCTAGGTTTCAAACATATTAATACTGTAACTTGACTCAAGCATAAACTCTAAAACAAGGCCTAGGTTTCAAGCAAATTAATACTGTAACTTGACTCAAGCACAAACTCTAAAACAAGGTCTAGGTTTCAATTAATACTGTAACTTGACTCAAGCACAAACTCTAAAACAAGGTCTAGGTTTCAAACATATTAATACTGTAACTTGTCTCAAGCATAAACTCTAAAACAAGGCCAAGGTTTCAAGCATATTAATACTGTAACTAGTCTCAAGCACAAACTCTAAAACAAGTCCAAAGTCTCAAGCATATTAATACTGTAAATTGTCTCAAATATGCATAGACTCTAAAACAAGGCCTAGGTTTCAAGCATATCAATAATGTTACTTTTCTGAAGCACAAACTCTAAAAAAGGCCTATGTCCTCCCTCCCTTGAATTATGGGTATGGTTTAGAGTTAAAAGACAACAACAAAAAGGCCCAAAAGAATTAGTATTGGATATATCTTCGGTCCCAAAGGATAAGCATTTAAGGTATCTAGAGTTCCAAAGGATTAGTATTTAAGGTACCTAGATTCCAAAGGATAAGTATTTAAGGTACCTAGAGTTCCAAAGGATTAGGATTTATGGTACCTAGAGTTCCAAAGGATAAGTATTTAAGGTACCTAGAGTTCCAAAGGATTTGGATTTAAGGTATCTAGAGTTCCAAAGGATAAGTATTTAAGGTACCTAGAGTTCCAAAGGATTTGGATTTAAGGTATCTAGAGTTCCAAAGGATTAGTATTTAAAGTACCTCGGGTTCCAAAGAATAAGTATTTAAGGTACCTAGAGTTCCAAAGGTGAGGTGTATTAAATCTCCAGAGTGTAGAAGAACCAAGAGTATAGAACCTGTCCCACTGATACTTCTACAGATTGAAGTAAAAATAATTAGTTAAATATATGTACTAATTTCAGGGTTTGCTATTTTCCTCAAGTTATTTCCAAATACCTTGGGGATCCCTTGAAATTACTTGAAAACTCCCTTTAAAGTTTAAACAAAGTTACTTTATGTTGAAGTTAAGCTTGGTCCAGGCCAGAACAGTTGAGGTGGTCATCTCCAGTATGTATATATATCCAAACTCATTCCAACTATACAACAAAATTCATGTAGACCATTTATGAACAACAGGACGAGTATGGTTTGAGGCGGTGCTTAGGATCCTGATCCGGAAAATTTGGGCTTCCTGGATCCGAATGCAATAGCAAAATATTAACAAAAACCAAAATAAATAATTTAAAAGATTAATAAAAACTTCCAAGTCACAAAATGGTTCAATAATTTTCAACATAAAAAATAATAGAAAAAAGAAAAAAAGTTATGAAAAGTTTCATTTGATGAAAACAATTCAGTAAATTTTGAAGAAATGTTCCGGACCCACTTTTTTTCTAGAGCAGATCTAAAATGAAATGGATCCTAAGCACTGATTTAAGGTTTAGTTAAGAATCCATATTGACATAATATTACCAAGATAAAACAAAGACGACTTTTATTTTGCCACATTAAGGAAATTGTAGACTATTTGAAATTGTATGAATGTGTCTATTAATACTTTAATTTTAAAAGTATTCATATGATGCTGTTGAAAATTGCTATGTTAAAAAATTGAACTGAATTGTTTAAGACTCTTTTAAAACAAGTCTCTACTTTTTTGCATTTTGAAATTCATAAAAATCTAAAATCATCTTTTACCTGACAAGAGTGGATTCTGTTCCCATGAGAAGAGAAAATCCATGTTCAATTCCTGATATCTCCTTGGTCTCTTTCTTATCTTCGATACTACAACCATACACAGGGTTCTCAGCATGCTCATGGATAATACGCCTAAATAGAATCCACATAAATTATTCATTATTTACTTCAGCTTCCTTTAAATCTGTTTAATTCAGCAATGGCATAGAACTAGACAGATTGTTCTTTAGGAAATGAAACAAAGTTAAGTCATAAAAATATCATTAGAAATTCGCAAAAATTGGATCATTTTATCATTCAGAAAGAGATTCTCTCCCAAATCACTGCAGTCAGTTTTTGACCAGACTCAAATTTTTTGCCTTTTTGAAAGTGGCTTCGTTTTTGACGATGAAGGATAATTATGAAAATTATAGTTTTAATTAGGTGGAATCTCTAGAATGAGGCTAATTTGGGATTTTTAATATCTGGCCAGAGATGTAAATAGGATTTTGTCCAGGAAGGGGGGGGGCCTGAATAACCCCTGAAAAGAAAAAGTTTTAAACTATCCAGGACTGTATCAGTATACTATATACACCCCTGTCTACCCTCTTTGTAAACCTCCTTGAGTCACTTTCTAGAAATCCAATTTTGCAAGTTTTCAAATAGGACTGCAAAGAAATCTTAACTTCTCTTAAATATAAACAAGTTTACAGGTTTAATAAGTATTGTGTGAAATTTTACTGGGACCCACAATTTGAGAATTATAAAATTATATCAATATCCTTCATTGTCTATGCTGCATATTACTTTAAAAAAGAAACTGTATTTGATAATAATCATATTTTACACAGAAAAATTGGGTGTCTCTATTATTTTTGGTAAGAAAAGGGTTGTAAATGGAAGATGACTCTAAATTAACCTGTATTGTCGAGTGGCCAAAACATTTCCTGTCACCACATCAACCTCCCATAACCTAATCATTTTCTTATTATTGCACTCCTGGTTCCATAGCTTAATTATGTTTTATTATTTTGCTCCCATAATCTAATTATTTTTTATTATTTTACTCCCAAAACCTAATTATTTTCATTATTAGACTTCTATAACCTAATTATTTTCATTATTTTGCTTCCATAACCTAATTATTTTCATTATTTTATTTCCATAACCTATTGTTTTTATTATTTGACTTCCATAACCTAATTATTTTCATTAGTTGACTTCCATAACCTAATAATTTTCATTATTTGACTTCCATAACCTAATTATTTTAATTATTTGACTTCCATAACCTAATTATTTTCATTATTTGACTTCCATAACCTAATTATTTTCATTATTTGACTTCCATAACCTAATTATTTTCATTATTTGACTTCTATAACCTTATTATTTTCATTATTTTACTTCCATATCCTAATTATTTTCATTATTTTACTTCCATAACCTTATTAATTTCATTATTTGACTTCCATAACCTAATTATTTTCATTATTTGACTACCATAACCTAATTATTTTCATTATTTTACTTCCATAACCTAACTATTTTCATTATTTTACTTCCATAACCTAAATATTTTCATTATTTTACTTCTATAACCTAATTATTTTCATTATTTTACTTCCATAACCTTATTAATTTCATTATTTGACTTCCATAACCTAATTATTTTCATTATTTGACTTCCATAACCTAATTATTTTCACTATTTTACTTCCATAACCTAATTATTTTCATTATTTTACTTCCATAACCTAATTATTTTCATTATTTTACTTCCATAACCTAATTATTTTCATTATTTTACTTCCATAACATAATTATTTTCATTATTGCCACGGCCTAGCTATAGTATCTACCCTACAACTAGGTAGTACAGACCCCACCCACCCACCTACCTGGCCCAGCCCTGGTACACCTTTATAGTATCTAACCTGCAACCAGGTCGGGCGGACCACACCCGACCACCATGAACTGCCACGCCCTGTTTGCCCTGACGCAATTTACTTCCTATCTAAAATAATTAAAATAAAATTAGTATGTTAATATTTTTAGAACTATAAAAAATCTTACTTCTCTGTAGGATTTATGTTTATGATTGCAAACCACAGCTCTGGTTAATGTACTGCAGACTGTAATCATCAACAATTTGAAAAATTTAATTTTTTTACAAAATTAATTTTAATTTTAATCCGCTTGGAAAAATTTGAATCAAATTGACATTTTTTAAAAAACACGTCTAGTTTTTTGTTTGTTTTCTGTATATATATTATATGCTAATTGAAGGGTGGATGGCTTGTGAATTGTTTTGAATGGTCAAGATTGAGAATTTTAAATCCAAAACACAAATTCTGAGAGAGAAAATTAATAATGCATTGAGAGAAAATGGCTCCAAATTAGAGAAATAAACATAAAATGTTAATCAAATAAATTTTCGAAATGTTTCCTAGCAGATCTTGATCTCCTGCAATCTGAACAACTTCACTATCTTTAAAAATTAGTATTAATATTACATACGGACATTTTTATGTTGAGATATCGTAGAAATATTTATTATTATTATTGCTAGCAGACAACCCATCATCCACCTAACCCATTTAAGAAGAAGATTTAGGAAATATCTATCTATGAAATGTTCTATCTATGAACTGTTCTATCTATGAAATTTCCTATCTATGACATGTTCTGTCTATGAAATGTCCCGTCTAGGTTAGGTTAGGTTAGGAAATTTCTTTTGTTCATAGAATTTTTTTCTATGAAGTGTCCCACCACTGGAAACTTTACTGAATCCATGTTGCCTGTAATAGTTTTAAAGAGACTGTTCGAAAAAAACACAGCCTTAACTGCTGTTGAACAATACATTTTTATGACTTTTCAGATTAAGATTACCCTCTGGAGCTTTGAAAATGTATTTTTTACCTAATGCTAGAATCTGCTTTGCAGGAGGAATATTTGATTCCTTGGTATCCACTAAACAAACACTTCCAAACTTCTAAAAATTCAAATAATTACTGATTGACCATGATTCAGCCGTTCTAGTGGGACCCATACTAACGTGGAATAGGAAGACGACTATCAGATTAAAACTAGTAAACTATTTGTTTTATGACAACATCAAATACAAATAGATTGCTGAATTGTCATATTCCCATTTCACCGTTTAATGGTATCAATGTACCTTAGAAACGAGATGATGATCTACCCTTTTATAAAAAGCATGACGACCTATCACTAGTAATGTTACATCGTCCACACGCAACATCCCTCCTAGTGAATTTCTGACCTACTAACTTTCCGACCTACTTTAATATCGGACCTACGCCAGCTGTTTATTTTTGTATTATTTGAGCTTTAAGTTAGGTTAAGACAATTTCTAGGCCGAGTGCTGCGGCTAGGAAAGGCTAGGGGGCCGAGCGCCGCGGCTAGGACATGCTAGGGGCCGGACCTTGCGGCCACAAGTCCATATAGCAGCTGCTAGTAGGTCGGATGTGTAGTATAGCGGATTTGGCGTAAGTCAGAAGTGGAGTATAGCGGATTTGCGTAGGTCGAAAAATACACCATCCTATCACTCCTGTATTTAGTATGACGACCTATACCTCCTATGAAAGTATGACGACCTACCCCTTCAATATAAATAATGACGACCTTTCCCTCCTATATTAAGAATGCAACCTATACCTCCTAAGAAAGTATGACGACCTACCCCTCCAATATAAATAAAGACGACCTATTCCTCCTATATTAAGAATGACGACCTATCCCTCCTATATTAAGTATGACGACTTACCCCTCCAATATAAAGAATGTGTCCAACCCAGCAAACTGAGGTAATTTCCTCCAGCAAGTCAGTGAACCAGCACAGTTCTCCACTATAAACACACAAAAAAAATAAACAAACTTGAGACAAAATTTACCTTTATATTTTTTTTAAAGTTTCAGATAAACTGAATAAATATAAATATAAACTTGCAATGAAAAACAGTTTCTTTCCGTAAATACAATATCATTTTAAACCAATCATTTTTAGTTATAGTCACTAGTCAGGTCTAACTAAAGTATTTTTTCTTCATTATTTGAGCTTAGAAAATTTTCGCAAATTTAATACTTTTAATTGCTAGAAGAAAAATATGGTGTATATGAATGCAACTCTGATCCAATTGACCGTAATTCGGAAGCATAAAAAAATTTAACATATTTTTTTTAAGGGGGGGGAGGGGCACGAAACGTCTTACTCTCTGGAAAATTTAAACAGTGTATAAACACAACTTAGCATTGTTGTGGAAGCTGATTTTCAACATGAAAACTCAAAAATATGTATAATACGTGCATTTTTTAGTTTGATTGAATGGATCTGAGCAAAAATGACTTATAAATCATACAGAATGTAAAATCTGTGTTTAGATGACCCATAATGTAATGGTTGGCTACTAGCGCACTACTCAGAATACTCCAATATTTATTTTGACCTTACAAATGAATACTTCATGCCCAAATGCCTATAAATCGACACACAGAATATAAAATCTGTGCTTCTGACTGCCAGCGTGCCGGTCAGAATGCTCCAATAATTATTATAATCTCAGAAATGGATTCCCCGTGCGCAACTACCTGTAAATGGACATACAACATGCAAAATATGTGCTAAGATGACCCATAACGGAACTTCTGGCTGCTAGCGCGCCGTCAGAATGCTCCAATATTTATTCATGAGCTCAGAAATGAATTCCTCTCACATTATTGCCTATATTTTGACATTAAGCATGTAAAATCTGTGCCAAGATGACCCATATCGTGACTGCTGACTGCTAGCGCGCGGTCAGAATTCTCCAATATTTATTTTGACCTCAGAAATGAATATATCGTGCCCAATTTCCTATAAATTGACAAACAACATGTAAAATCGGTGCTAAGATGACCCATAATATAAGAGTTAGCTAATAACGTGCCGGTCTATTTTGACCTCTGAAATGAATTCCTTGTCCAAATTTTGCTATAATTTGATGTATCTCATGCTACTTTTAATCTAACTTAGGCAAAACTTCGTACATAAGTATTGAAATATATTTTCTTTTAATTGCGAGCACGCGCGTGCATTTAAGGCTTTTTGAGATGAATTTTTTGCGCATATTTGTTTTAAGAGATAAATGTTTAAGTGGAACTAATGATATTAAGATTGATCACTGTCAAAAAAATCGTATTTTAACACAAAAAGCGTGCGCGCGTGCACTTTTTCTCAGATCCGTTTAAACCAAAAAATGCACGCAATTAATACATATTTTTAAGTTTGCATACAAAAAAATCAGCTTCCTACAATAATGCTAAGTTATGTCTATAAACTACTATAAATTTTCCGGAGAGTAATACGTTTTGTACTTTTAACACAACTTTTCAGTACCTTAGAACGTCGACAATTGCTCCGACCCCCCTTTTCTTAACGTTGTCCCCCTGAGTATCATGTTGGCCACCAGCAACAACTAGATAGGTTTCCTCATCATTGAAACCAAGGTGTTCTATCTGCAGGCCTGGTAGTATTCCCTAATTCAGAGAAAATAGTTTCAAAATCCTAGCTTACTAAAAACAAAAGGATTGTATCATGTACATAGTACAATGTACATTGTACACTGTAGTACACAGGGACTGTAGGCAGGGAAGATTTACAAGGAACTGTACACTGCACACAGGGACTTTACAATGTAAACAGGGACAGTAAACTGTACACAGTTACTTTAAACTGTATAGAGGAACTTACACTGTACTACACAAGGACTGTACACTGTTAACAGTTCATGTGAACTGTACACAGGGACTGTACACTGTATACAAGGAATTACACTGTTCATTTGTATTAAGGGACTAAAACCTAGGGACTGCAAACGGCGTGACTGTATACTGTATAAAAGGGTTTGTATTTGTACACTGTACAACGTGACTGTGCTCTGTATCAGGTTAAGTACAAAGGGGCTGTAAATTGTACACAAAATACATGCACTGTACACAGGGACTGTATATAATACCTTGGCCCAATGTAGAGATAAATGTTCCGATTTAGTTCTATAGAATAGTTTAATAAAACCAGTCGAATATCCCAGGCACAGCTGACCAGGTCTGGGTATTATTCAACATCAATTCAAATATTATTATTTAATTGTATATATTTTTAAATCATTTAACTGGTTTTGGAGTTGAACTGCTTTTGTATCATATATAATACAAAATAATGATGTCTAAGAAATACAATCTATTAAAAAAATTTATTAGGAATTTGGGTACTGTACAGTGTACAACAGGGGCTGAAACTGCATAATTTGTTAAAACATTTGGATTTTTAACTATTAATAATAAGTTAATTATTAATCATTGAACATAATATCAAACTGCTGATAAACAATTAAAATTTGATCTTTGCAGATGATACATTCCTAACAGCTACTGCAGTAACCTAAAAAGTATAATTTCAATCATCGTATTAATAATTAAACAAAAATTAAGAATTTTTCAAGATAATATGTTTACCCCTGAAATCACCTGGTTCTCTTGATCTGAAGCAAGTTTATCTTCCCAATTGTTGAGACTGGCAGCTAATATATAACCCATATTGTGATGTACAGACTTTAATAGTATGCTGACCTATGTACACAATGCGCCGTCACTGATCAGTGTACAACACTGAACACTTTACAATTTTCTAATAGTTTCTACAACCTTAGGTCGGTACAGAGACATATTTTTATCATTTCTTTATGTTTCTTTCTACATTTCATTTGTCTGAAGAAAATGGCATTAAACATTAAATAAAATATTAAAATTATACATACAAAAATAAAAAAGCCCCAAAAATGACAATAAACTCTGCATTCAATAAAATCTTAATCATTATGCATTAAAGAAAACACATTAAAATCTCTTCTTAACTTTGAATAGCTTGGGTACCCAGTTCAGTCTGGAAAATAAAGTTTTCCCAATTAAAGTACACCCACTGAACAAAGAAGTGAGCTTATTCTTACACTGTAGGTGTAGATTTTTCATCATGCAAAATTAAACAGGAAAACAAGAGAAAACATGTTCCTGGTCTGATGAATACATTATTGATTAAACATAATTATAATTTTATCAAATTAGTAGAATTAATCTGCTGATTTATGATGAAATGTGATAAAGTTTAACAAATTTACATGGTAGACGATGATAATTTCTTTTTGAAATTTAGAAAATAAATACGCCCCACGCAATTGCTATTACTGTCACTAAGGAGTTACAGTTTAAAACGATGTTTGTTCGGTTATCTCAAAATATTTTGAAGCAAAAGTAGCCTTACTGCCCTAGTCGCCCTAGCAGACGAACCAAGGTTCGAGGATTTGGAAAGTTGCAAAAAAAACATATTTAAAAAAAGTATTTTACCAAAAATTCTGATATGACATTCTTTTGTTTGTTAATTTCTATTCATGAAAATTTGATACAAAAAAATATTATTCATTAAGATTTTAAATAATTTATTTTATCTATGTTGCATCATCCCAGATCAGCTGTCTTGTGTGTACATTGAAACCCATCATAATTCATAACACTACTGGGAAACATGTTGAAATCAATGAAATTAGTGAATATTTTAATTTAATGAATCTCGTTAAATTATTCAATATTTGTGACTGTTAATGAATGGTTGGGGGGGGGGGGGGGTTATTTATTTTCTGTCAATCTTGCTGAACAACTTTTAAATCATTACAGACTGTGATGCTTTTAATTCATTTAGAATATGCTGGGTGTAAATTTAATCTTGGTTTTATTTCAGAAAATACATTGTATTGTGTGGCTGATGGGCAAAGATAAAGACCCTTGTCAGCGTCACGCTTGTCAGCTTCAGACTTGTTTAGCTAAAAACGGCTTCCAAGAATCTAAGTGTCAGCACGAGTTAAGGTAATCTGGGCCCATTGGGCAAGTGAGGGGGAGGTTTTAAAATGAATATTTAATCATAGTTTTTGGGTCCCTCCTAGAGAACGATTTTTGGACCCCCCCCCCTTCCTATCAATTTTGTACATGACCAAACTAGTATTTATTTAGGGTTAGGTTAGGTTAAGACACTTTCTGGGCCGAGCGCTACGGCTAGGACAGGCTAGGGGGCCGAGCGCTGCGACCACGGGGTAGGTTAGTTAAGACACTCTCTGGACCGAGCGCTGCGGCGAGGACAGGCTAGGGGGCCGAGCGCTGTGGCCACATGGCCAATTATATCCATGTCTAACAAATAAGATCCATGCAAAATTGATAGTATGGGGGGGGGGTCCAAAAATCGTTCTCTAGGAAATTACCTAGTTTTTTCGCTTATACACAAAGAAATACTCGAATAAAATATTGCGAACAAAAAAAAATAGGATGTAATGGAAATCACCTCTTGAGGGGGGGGGGCGTTTTTAAATTACATTTTTAGTGTTTGTTTAATGTTATTTCTTGTTGATAAGTTTTCAATATTTTAAACCTGTGAATTTTTAAAAGTGGTTTATAGGCTTAGACTTGAATCTGGTTCAATTGTTTAGGCAAATTGTTAAGTGTTGTACTCTGTGGAAAGAAGAATCATTTAAAGTTTGCTCTGGAATAGAATACGAAGGAAAAAACGAAGAAGAAAAGCACAATAAAGAATAATAATTATCAGATATAAAAGCAATCTGTTGTGATGAATCGTCCGGCTGTCTTCTTTTTATCCTCCCAGCGAAACATGTTCAAAATGTCGAACAGAACATATAAAGTGTTAACCTTGGTCACAGTTCCTGGGGTTAGAAGGTCCGAAGCTTCGATGGGGATGACATCATTTTCTACCAGTGCTATAAATATGTCGAAAAGTCCAGAAGAACTCAAGGAATTAATTTTATTGATCAAATTTGTCATCACCCCTTGATATCTGGTAATACATACATATAAATAAAGCCTAGGTAAAGGGAAAAATCTTGAAATTGCTGAATTTAATTTTTTTATTGATTTATAGATTTAGTGATTTAGTTTTTTATTGAATTAAGTGATTGATTAATCAATGCTCGCTAAACGACACATATTTTTTATTTAATCGATTGATTAACTGATTAAGTGTAGGCCCACCTAGAGTCTCATTTTTTGCTAAATTGCTAAATTGATACAGCCTTGGCCCACTGCGACTACAAGACACTCATTTATTATTAATTTCATTAATTAATTTAGTGTTGTCTCTTTTCTATTATCCAAGACTACAGTCTAGAAACACCAGGAGTCTCTAATTTATTATCTGATTGATTGATTGATTGAGTCCATACTTACCAAGGCTCACTTATTTCTTATTAAATTGATGAATTGATTGAGTAAAGACCAATTAAGAGAAAATCATTTATTATTGATTTTATTAATCTATTGAGTCTAGGCCTAACAAGAGTAAATTTAATATTGAATTGATTAATTGATTGAGTTTAGGCCCACCTAGAGTAAAGCATTCATTATTAATTTGATTAATTAGTTGAGTGTAGGCCCACCTAGAGTAAAGCATTTATCATTGATTTGATTTATTGATTAAGTGTAGGCCCATTAAAAATAAATAATTTATTATTGATAATTGATTTAGTGTGTGCCCTCTAAGAATAAATAATTTATTATTGATTTGATTAATTGATTGAGTGTAGGCCCACCAAGAATACATAATTTATTATTGATTTGACTAATTGATTGAGTGTAGGCCCACCAGGAGTCCCTAATGAAACGAGGACTACCTACAAGGAAGAGCATACCCGGTGTTAAGCATGTTATTCTGGTCTCATCTGGGAAAGGTAATGGCTCAGTACAACCATAATTTCAGGGTTACCCACAAAGGATGAGACTTAAAGACGATCTCTGGGTTAAATTGAATCTTCAGCAGCATATCATTTTTTTAATGGCTTAATCATTAATTTGAAACAGAAAATTTAAGTTCACAGTTGCTGGGAATCTTGAATATAGGGTAACAGATAGTATAAATTCCGTACAGTGGTCTAGGAAGTCTCATCCTTTTTTAGTTAACCCTGTAGACTGTAAGACTTCGTTAATTTTTAAATTTAACAAGAATACTGTCGAACCTGCAGATGAAAAACAATGATTCAGATTTTGTCGCTTTTGGAATTCTTTTTTTTTATATCTTTGTTTTTATTCGATTTTTATTTATAAATAAATCAATGACATATTTTATGAAAAAAGTTCAAATAAAAGGGCGTGAAAGGGAAAATAAAACTGAAAGAAAGAATTTAATTTAGATATATTTACTTTAGAGAGGGGTTTTGAAGAGATTTTATATGAAAAAGAAATAAACAAATATAAAAAGTTGTATGTTTAAGGTGGTGTGGGTAAATCAACAACATCAGTTAATCTTGCTTTAGCGCTTTCAAAACATAAATCAGCACCTGCTGTAGGCATTCTAGGTCAGTTATCTTTATTTTTTTTAAATTTCTATATTATTGTTTATTATTGTTAATGCCTTTGTACTGCATATTTTAGTGCACTTTACAGTCACACAATGTACACTTAAACACTAAACACTATACATTATATGATTTTACATTATACATTTGTAGCAACGCTAAAAAGACAAGTGAATTAACTGTATATATATTGAGAAACCAGCTCTACTCCCGTCTTTCTAAACTGAGGAACGACTAGAAGACCTGGGAAAAGCACTGCGAGCTCCAGACCTGGAGGATGAATTACAGCGTGGAAAGCATTCACGTACTCAAACTGATCAGATAAAGCAAGGACAGGGAGGCTGCGTCCACAAATTGTCCAAAGTTTGTCAGCACATATAGCCATTTCTCAAGGGTCATTGATGGATTCAGAGAGCAAATGAGCTCGAATATCAGCGGGGAGGCGGTCCATGAACAGGCCTCTGAAGAAAAAACCAGGCAGGGAAGAGGACCAGCATCTTGTCCATTAGCTCAGAGGGACATTGGTCGGTTAACAAAGCCAAACTCTTTAGGGACTGATATCTTTGGAAATTACTCAGGGAATACATTTGAATAAGACGTCTTCTTAAAGCTTTGTAGGGCTTGACAGGAGGCGCTCGAACTAGGTCCAGGAGTCAGAATGCAACATCCTGGGGCAATGCAGCAACATAGTTAGTAAACTTTGTCCGGGAGGATGTAATCCTTGTTTTCATACTGAGCCTCTGCTTGAATATACGAAACCTCCGGAGAATTGGTGCAAAAGGAGGGAAATTTCACAGAAATCATTGTTAAAGGGATTGCACCCTGGATCTCATTATTCTCCGTTCCCATAGGCATTTCGTCGATCGCTACTCATTGCTGAAAATAAACAGGATAAGTTTCTCGAAATCGCTGGAAACCTTACTTTGGCGTCTGGGTGTGAAAAACACCCGGTTGGAGCCAATTTCGGGGACATCAGCGAGTGAGAGTCTTAAGTCACCAGCGACAAATGCCGTCGGGGTCACCAAAATGTAGTGAAGCTAAAAAGACAAGGGAAATAAACTGTATATATATTGATCTCTAAGTTACAAGGAGAAATCTTTTAAAGAATATATATTTGGTTTGGTTGAGCTTGGGTCCAGAAGTGGAAGACGACAATCTAGCTTTTACATTATACATTATACATTATACATTATACATTATACATCATACATTATACATTATACATTATACATTATACATTATACATTATACATTATACATTATACATTATACATTATACATTATACATTATACATTTTAGATGCTGACATATTTGGACCAAGTTTACCAACAATGATGAATATTAGGTTATTAATTTCATTTAATTTTTACTTAAATTATTTTATTTAGAAACTTGGTTAGGTTCCCTGTCTCTCATTATATTTAAAATCCACCAGTCAGTTCATGAAAAAAATGAAAAAAAAAAACAATTGCAGCTAGAAAAAATCATCATTATTCATTATTAAAAATCGTGAACATTCATATTGTTAAGATAAATGTTTTTAGTTCTGCCCCTGAGCTAACTGCTGAGAACAAGATGATCCCTGTTCTAAATTATGGAATTAAATGCATGTCTATTGGTCTACTGGTAAATTTAAATATTTTCAATCTGATCGATGTTATATGAACAACATTGAAAATATATGCTTTCCCTTTGCACACTGTAAAAGGATAACAATTCATAATTTCGCAGATTTGTCTGTTTTTTATTGGTGTATATCCTTAATTTTTAGGAAATTTGTCAGATGATTTCCCTTAAAACTTAGGCTCTATCAATTAAGTCGTGCGTTCTGACATGTAAAGTATACAACAAACAAACCTAATATGTATTATATCAAATCTGTTTGGTTCCATAGTAGTAAGAATTCCCGTTTCAAGAGGAACAAAATATTGTTCGCTTCCTAGCGTTTAAGAATGCTTATTCTTACACTGTAGGTGTAGATTTTTCATTCTTTAACGCTCAGACCGTGTAAGAATTTTCATTCTTTAACGCTCAGACCGTGTAAGAATGGAAATTATTACACGGTCTGTTCGTAAAAGAATGTGTATTCTTACACGCTCCGAGCATTAAAGAATGGAAATTATTACACTAGTTGAAGAATATTCATTCTTACACGCTAAATTGATCTTTTCTACATAGATCAATATTGATATTAACGTAATTATTTTGTACTGACAACATGCACACTGCACAGGGCACTCTCACCTTTTTCTTTTATATTAATACATGCAGACTTACCTTTTTATACTTTATAACAACATGCTCACTTACCTTTTCCTTTAATATTAAAACATGCAAACTTAATTTTTTGCTTTAGTAAAACATGCTCACTTACCTCTTTTGTTTTTTGAAGTATTGATATACCTTAATTCAGGAATTTCCATTTTAATCTTAACCCTAGTCCTGACAGAAGAGTGGAACCTCCTTGTTTAATTACCATTTTCTGACCTTTCCAAAAAATAAATTTACTGCTTTTAGCCTTACATTGGACATTTTCATCCAACTGCCGAGTCTCACAGCTTTTTTTTGTTTTTCTTCATTGCGAACCAAGTTTGGTGAGATTTTCCAAATCTCTGCATTCTTTTAATAGTACGGTCAGAGCTTTTCAAAGATAGAAAGGTTGTCATGTCTTCACGACTTCAATCAATCGTTTTTTTCACTTTTTAATGGATACTGAACAAAAAAAGGGTTTCCAAAATTCCAAATTCAGTTGTAATATTTAAACAAATTAGACAGAATAAAGAGGTAGATTTGCCCCCCACCCTACAGCTAACACTAGTTTTAAAGTACCTCAGTCTGAGTCAGCAGTCACCATATCTCGCCTAGCTCGAGATGATGAAGTGAAACCACAATCAAAACCAAAAATAATTAGTTTTAAAACTTAATATCGAAATACTAGTGTCACAACCTGCTTTTATCTCCTCTTTTTGGAATATTTAGGATCTAATATCCAGGAAATGATTTCCTCTGTAAATGATTTCACGATTTTGTTCAGTAGATTAAGACAACCCACTACTGTATGTTCTTCCCATCTAAAAAAAACTCAGGGCACATTCAACATGCTGTATCTAAATGTAGTATCAACTTGAAAAAACAAGCAAATTCATTAGAAATTGGTAAACAAACTAAACTAAGGAAACAATCACACCACAGGCATTACTTTCAAATGAAGATCCAATTTTTACTTATTAAATTGTTTTTAACATTTTAACATCAGAAAAATAAAAAAAACAGTGTTAGTCAGAACAACAGCATAAAACTTATTTGCAACCTTCCTTAACTGTTACAATTTGAAATGGTCGGATTTCACCAGAATTATTTTTTACTATAACTTCTTTGGTATGTGCCCATAGAACCTCACAAATTTGATAAAATAATAATCTTATGAGGAAAAAAATGTAATAATGGAAAAGATGAAATAATATTGATGTATTCTTTAATAAAGGCCGAATCCTCAGAAGATTATCATAATACATACATAGATATGAAATAATAATGATGATAACTTATATAATTTGAAGGTGGACCCAGCTCAGGCTGTTGTTTGGAGAGGACCAATGGTAATGGGAGCCTTAAATAAGTTAGTAACACAAACACACTGGGGACACCTAGATATTCTAGGTAACTTGTATACTAAAATAGGCCGGGAGGGGGGAGGGGTTTCTNATTTCTTCATTAGATCGTGTGTGAGGGACAAAGATCAATTTTTGAGAGGGTACTTTAAATATTTCACTTCATTAATTTCATTAAAAAGGGGAAAACTTAGTACTTTCTTCAATTCTTGTAAGTTCACTATATCTTTAAACTTGCCAGGTGCTGTAATTGTTTCTACCCCGCAGAAAGTAGCTTTAGCGGATGCTAGAAAAGGAATTGATATGTTTAAAAAGGTGAACAATTATTATTTATCTAGAAATTCCTATCAGAAATAAAGGGGATGGTGGAGTTGGCACATTTGATGTAGGGGGGGGGCCCTGCCTTCATTTTTGGTTCAAATCTTCCAATTTTTTGGCTGCACGCCTAATTAGTGATCGAAATTCCTAAAATAAAATCAAATTGAATTTTAATGACCTCTAATGACCTCTAATGACCTCTAATGACCTCCAGT